AGTTGGCCCAAATAAACCAATTTATTTTTACTCTTAAGGTTGTTTAAGGATCTGTTCCTCAGGGGTCACATGGGCTTAGGAGGAGCCCCTGGCTCCATTCTTTTACCAATTCCATCTATGTGAAGATAAGTCAAGGTCCTGCTCAACTGTGTCTGGCTTCACTTGGAAGCATTGAGGAAATGTTTCCTCTGTGTTGACCCTCATCTTTGTAGACTAGACACTGGTTAAATCCATCTGGTGGGGTCTCCATGGCCTCCTTGATCAAGAGGACAGGTGACTTACCATACTTGTAGGACATTTTGAGAGATACTCCATAGTCCCCTGGAATTTAGTCAACCTTGGAGAGCAAGGAGCAAAAACTGTCCTTTAAGTCCCTCTGACCAAATTAGTATAGGCCTCAAAGTATAGCTGCTAAACATCCAAGAAAGTTAGTTCCACCAGTTTGGTACTTTTAATTACAATGTGCTATATAGATAAAGCTTAGGCAAAACCAAACGTTCTCAGATAATACTTGACTAAACGTATATTATGTTCCTTGAACTAGTTGTATGTATAATTTGTCAGTAGGCTGTTGGACTAATATGGTTCCGTTTTTTTTTTTTTTTTTAAACTAGTTAGGCATTACTTATCTCTCTCATTGTCTAACCCTTCCACTATGGTTTCTCCATTTAAAGTGCCCCCATTTTCCCCATTTCTCCCTTAATAATACCCTCTCCTAAGGTCCCACCTCTCTTGAGTGCCTTCTTTCCCTTTATCCCCTAGGTTCCTTGTATAACCCTCCCTCCCCCTCCCATTTAAATAACCTCCTTTTTATCAATATTTCCCTTAGTAATACCTGTTTCCTACTGTTCTTCTCTTTCAGAATTAACCTCCTGGTTCGTTTTCATTATCTTAGTTCCTGGACTTACAACAGGATACATACTCACATATAAAGATTTGGTGCTAGGATCCACATATGAAGGAGAACATATGTCGTTTGTTTTTCTAAGTCTGTGTTACTTCACTTAATATAACAGTTTCTAGTTCCATCCACTTACCTGAAAATTTCATGATTTTATCTTTCTTTACTGCTGGTCAGTGTTTTATCATAGCAACAGCAAGCAAGCTAGAACACCAACAGACTCCTTTACATTTCCATCAGCTTCCCAGCTCTGGATCCCGGGCCTTTTGGACACCCCTTCACTCTTTATCTTTTTATAGTCACTCTGTAATGTACAGAAACAAGGAAAGCTGGAGTGTCTGGCAAATTGCTGCCAATGAAACTACTTTTACTTTACCTTGTGAATTTTATTAATAAATTCTGACATTGTGGGGAGACACAAACGTGTTGGCCTATTTCTGACATAGTGTGCTCATGACAAATTATATGTTGAATTTCTAACTCCTGTACTAATGAACGAAATCTCATTTGGACATAGGAATTTTGCCAGTGTATGAGGTCTAGGGAGATGGCACAGGGGATAAGAGAGCTTGCTCTAAAAGTAAGATGAGTCAGGCATGATGGAGCTCTGTGAGTCTAAGGCCAGTCTGATCTGCACAGTACATTCTAGGCCAGCCAGCAGGGTTTCATAGTGAGATCCTGTCTCCAAAAAAAAACAAAACGCAAAAAAAAAGGCAAGAAAACCTGAGTTCAAATCCGCAGGATTCTAGCATTGCTGGGCAGATATATGTAGATATCAGGTTCTCATTGGCTGGCCAGCCTAGCCAAAACTGTGAAGTAAACTTCAGTTTTGATGAGAGTAAGAGAGGAAGACACCCAACATCTTACTCTGGCCTCCACACAAGTGCACACTTGCACATACACCCCCCACCCCCCCCACACACAGTGACACAGTCCTTAAGAAGAAGGAAATTTGTGCACAGGCAGACACTGGGAAATCACCTAGTGATGAAGGAGGCAGAGGTTAAAGTGATGCACTACAAGTCAACAAATGCCAAGGATGGCGGCCAAGTGCTAGAAACTACAAGGAGAGACATGGGAATTTCCTTCCTTGAGCCCCTTGCAGGGACCAATCCTGCTGACATCTTGATTTTGAACTTTCAGCCTCCAGAACTATGAAAAATTTAATTTCTGTTGTGTTGAGTTATGCAATATGTTGGTTTTGTTGTAGCACATCTAGGAAATAAATCTAGGGAATTAACTGTGTGTTGTCTTGTGAAAATAGTAATGAAAACTAAACCTGACTGCAGCTGACAGCTGGCTAATAAGGCAGTGGCAAAACCCATGGTTCTTTCTTTCTTTCTTTTTTTTGGTCTTTTTGAGACAGAGTCTCACTATCTCACTAAGTAACTCTGGATGGCCTGAAACTTCCTATCTAGATCAGGCTGGTCTCAAACTCACAGAGATCTGCCCACCCCTGCCTTCTGAGTACTGGGATTAAAGGTGTGTACCACTATGCCTGACAAGAAAGACATTCCTAAAAGGTAATTTGAAGCCAGGTATAGTGGAACAGGTCTTTAATCCCAGCACTCATGCCTGCAGAAGCAGAGCCATGTGGATCTCTCTGAGTTTGAGGCCAACTTGATCTACATAGCAAGCTGTAGGCTAGCCAGGGCTGTACAGTGAGACCCTGTCTTAAAAAACAACAGAGGGGCTGGAGAGATGGCTCAGCAGTTAAGAACACTGGCTGTTCTTCTGTGGAGATTTTCTTTGAAATGCTAATAAAATTGTTCTCAAGCTTCCTTTTGAGTCCATTCTTAAATTCTTTTATTTTTATTTATTTATTTATTTATTTTTATTTATGTATATGAGTGTTTTGTATATGCAGTTCCTGTGGAGGCAAGAAGAGGATATCAGATCACCTGGAACTGGAGAA